TAATTGATTATAAGCAACAGAAATGACAAGTCGAAATTATGCACCTTCAGCATTCATTGTGTCATTTATTTAGTCGAAATTATGCACCTTCAGCAATTGCTTATAATCAAAGCATTCACCTTATGCACCTTCAGCATTGACTATTAAAGCATATTAAAAGGTAAACCATATAATGGGCATTGACTATTAAACCATCTTCTGGTGCATAGAAATTGAACCAATTGAACCAATTATGCACAGAAATTTCTGTATAATCAAGATGAATCCTGAAATTGATTTAATGAAGAAATTATGCACTGGAGAAATTGAACCAATTCAAAAAGGTAAATGATTAGATTAAACATTTCGTTGGGGAATTTCATCGAACACGTTTAAGGCAATGTAAGACTCCAACTGAAAAGGCCACAATTCGTAAATGAAAATGCCACAATTCCCAAATCAAAAGGAAATTTCACAGATAATACATACAAATTTCACAGATAATAAATGAAATTTCACAAATTTCCCAAATGCCACAATTCATCGAACAGGAAATAGATAGATATATATATATATATACGCAGATATGCAGACAGTTGAAGTGAAGGGAAGGAGAGACAGTGAGATTCCACAATTCATCGAACAGGAAATAGATAGATAGATAGATATATATATACACAGATATACATACAGTTGAAGTGAAAGGAATGAGAGACAGAGAGATTTGCGAGTGAAGGGAGGGAACGAGCTGTCGGTGTCGGAGTGAAGAGAAGGAGTGGTCGCCGACGTCGGAGTGGGAGTCAGGCGTCGGAGTGGAGGGCAGTAGCAACTCAGATTTATGGTTCTGTTACCGTTGTTGGAGAGGGGAGGGGGGAAAATTTCAAATGAAATGTGAACCTGTTGTTTGGGTCTTGTAAACACAGTCACGTGACTATCACGTGAGTGCCACCTCACTGGGGGTCACTGGGGGTCGGGGTAACTGGGGGTAGGAAGCATTTTTGTGCCTTCATGAATTGGATCATCCATATACTCGCATCTGCAAAACAAAATTGAGATATAGCATTAAATAATATACGATCGTTCTATTGCTTTGATCGGGAATGGAATTAGAGCTAGGGTTTGAAAGGGAGAGAAGACCGATTGCGAGTTTCTTTCCGGCTAGGGTTTCGACGGAGACGCGGCGGCCGACGGGGGCAAGCAGTTCCCAGAGACCGTGAACGCCCATCGTGGCTTGTCGACAACGTTTCTCCTTTCTTCGGTTATTGTTGCCGCCAATGCGCTTCTTCACTTGAGTGTTATTTATGCTACAGCATGTTGTTGAGGCCGTGGACATAAAAACGACGCCGTAGTGTCTCGTCAGTATATTGTTTCTCAACAATGATTCATCCCATTAAAAATATCACCACTAATAGCACTAATGCATTAAAAAATTGGTCGCTCGAGCGATCAGTACCAAGACCAAAACATCACATCATTAATGGCGGGACCCACTGCCACCTAATTAGTGGGAGCACTAATTAGTGCTCCCAAGCATTTTTCGATCAATAAATTGTGTTCCAAAAGACAAGCCCCAAATTTTCTATGACGTGATGTTATCACGTGATGTTATGTTTAATAATAAATAATTATGCTATTGTAGAATACACATGATAGGGGTGAGCAGCGGATATATCGATCCGTCAAAATTGACCGAATCGAACCGATCCGCCACATTTTGGACGGATGCGTGACGACGAGCAGACGGTTGCAGATTGATTTCTCCAATCCGCCAATTTGGTGGACGGATTGCGAATTTGAGATTCCTTTGGCCGCAACCGAACCGTCAAACCGCGAGTACCCTAATAATTTTATAAGATTTTATCTTTTCAATTTGTTTAAATATTTTGTTTGTGTTTTCAATTGAAAAAGAGTTTACATATTCTGTTGAAAAAAAGTTTTCAACTTAAATATATTTTTTGAATTGAAAAAAATAAATGTATTATTTATCTATATTTTTTTGTTTTTAAATTTAACTCTAAAAATAATAAATAGAAAATATGACATATGCTGGTTTGTTTTTGTTTTCAAAAACATATATAGATGTAACAATACAGAGACATACAATCTCTACTACTGCCCTGTTCATGGTTTTGGTGGTTTGAATTGTTATTATAGTTTAAAAACCTCATATTGTAATACTTTATGTGGTTTATGTGGATGAATCATGCTGTGATTGTAATATGTGGATGAGCCATGCAGTGATTGTAATATTCTAAAATTTCAAACTTTCTTTTTTTTTATGAGACATACAGTAATTGTAATAGTTTTTTAAGTCATTGACTGTAATACTTTTTTTTTTTTTTTGAGGAAGTTGCACAAGTTGAATTATGTTAAAAATTTATAAAATTTTAAACCGCCAAACCGATCCGCATCCATCCGCCAAACCGCCAATCCGTTCAATCCACATCCGCCGGATTGGCGAACGGATGCAGATTGATTTTTTCCAATCCGTCAATCTGACGGATGAATGATGAATTGGAGATTCCGTGGCCGCAACCGACCCGCGCACGCCCCTAACACATGATTGTGGCTGTGGCTCCGATTAAAGAGTATTTTGTGGTTTAATTCTTTTATTTATTTTATTCTAAATGGTGTAAATGAATAATCTCTTGTTATATGTTGAACGAGCTAAGGATCCATTTGGAGAATTAAATTTTTAGTTAAAAAACTATTATAAATTAAAAAATAGTTTTTTAAATAAATAAATAAATAAAATAAAACTTATTTATTTAACTTTTGTTATTCATAAATAAATTTAAATAAATTTAATTAAAAAATAGATTTAAATAAGTTTCTGGATTTAACTATTATAAATTTATTTAAATTTATTTATAAAAATTTAATTAAATTTTTAGTTAAAAAACTATTATAAATGAATAACAAAAGTTTCTGGATTTAACCCCTGTAACAAAATAAAACCTGAAATTTCAATTTTATCAATTTAAATTCTAGTCATTTTATTTATTTTCAATCTAAATTATTTGTCTATTTTCATTAACTAAAACCGGCGAAAAAAATAATGTTTTAGTCAATAAACAAAATATCCTTAATGAATAAAATATTTATGTTGTCATCAATTTTATTTAAAAAAATAGACAACTGGTTCATATTAAACACAAAACAAAAGTTTAAATTTGAAATTGACAAAAAATTCAAAATTTATTTTGTTAAAAAAAAGTTTAAAGTTTAAATTGACAAAAAATTTAAGATTTATTTTGTTATAAGAAAAGTTTAAAATTTAAATTGACAAAATTAAAAACTTATAATTTATTTTGTTATAAAAGTTAAATCCTCACATTTCGTAATAATTTTCTTCAATTATTTTTTAGAAGGGATTGTTTGGCAAGTTGGGTTTGGACTATTTTTTGACTAAAATTTACAAAACACAAAATATACTAAAAATAGTTAATAAGACAAAATATCACATTAAATCCACAATTATTTTATTTTTTCTCTCACAAATATTGTATCCAATTACAAAAAAATCTAATTATATTTCCAAAAACAAAAATTTTAATGGAAAATGTTTGAGACTCCCTTTTGGGGAGACCCTTGCCACCCCACAGTGATGTGGACCAATGATGTATTTGTATTTTTTTTTCAAAAATGACTTAAACCCCCAGCTGGGGGTCATCCATGATTAGGCCAAAAAAAACTTTTTTTTTTTTATTTTCAGCCAACCCCAGGCCGACACGTGGCACTGGGAGGTCGCTGGGGTCGTCCGTACTGAGGTCGGAAGCATTATTGTTTTTTTTTTTTTCTCTTTCTTACTTGGACTAATCACAAGTTAGTGGAGTTGTGGAGGTGATATTTTGTAGAGGTCTGAATTATTACTGAATTTTAATATATTAAAATAATCAAAAATTAAATTAACTTACTAAAATAACAATTTTTCAAACAACCACAGTATAAGAATATTTTTATCCTAAAGTAGAAAGTTAGGGCTGAGCAAGGAATCCGTGAAATCCGTAATCCGATCCAGTCCAGTCCAATCCGATAGGTTTGGATTGATTTTTTGAATCCGTGGTTCGGTTCCGGATTGAAAAATTAAAAATCCGTAGTACACGGATTGGTTCCGGATTGAACCTCACGGTTCCGGATTGGAACCGATCCGGACCGTATACAAATAGTATATATTTTTATTATACATCCTCCCCCATAGTATCTTCTCTTATTCTATATAAAATCTAAACTCAAACCTAAAACCGTATAATATCTTCTTTTATTACTTTTTATTTGTTAGTTTTTAGTTTTAATTTGTAATGGTCTAAATAGTTATGGTGAAACCAGTTTTCTTATGATTGTTTAAATTCTAGCACAGTATGTCGCTATTATAGAAATAGATGTTGCTATTGTGGAACTAATATAGCACTATGTTTATATTTTTATGAAATTAAAGTGTTATATATATTTTTTTGTTATTTAATTATGTGAATCCGTAGTCCTAAACCGATCCAATCCGTATTTAAATGGATTGGTTCGGATTGGTTCCATGATTTAAACGGATTGGATTGGTTCCAATTTTTCAGGAACCGTAGATAACGAATTAGTCCTGGTTTTATCCCAATCCGGTCCAATCCGAACCATGCTCACCCCTATAGAAAGTGTTGTTACTACTATATGAAATAATAAAAAATGAAACAAAAAAGTATTGTACTAATTGTTTAATTATTTTGATGAGCACTAAAACCATACATTAATGATATAGTAACACAACAACGAAACAAAATTAAAAAGAAAATGCTACAGTTCTTAATTTTTTTACTAAATAAGTCACTAGATGTCTTACAAGTATAGAGTTCATACAATGAAAATGCTAGAGGTCCTAAATTTTCTACCAAGTAAATGATCAAATGTCTCACATGAGTGTGGGGCCCACATCTATGTGAGACATTTGATCATTTGTTTGGTAAAAAATTTGGTGTCCCTAACATTACCCTTCATAAAATTACGAATCTCATATTATGTGTGACATTTAATCATTTATTTCGTAAAAAATTTAATATGCCTACCATTATAACCAAATGCAAAGCAATTAACAACAAACTTGTAACACACCAAGCTCTTGTCTCCATATCTACTTTCTTCTGTAGATCCTACTCTTAGCTGGAAATGGAGGAATGCTCTGTTCATTTCTGAATAAATTCTGTGGATCAACCATGGTCTTCACTCTCACCAACCGATCAAAATTACCCTTAAAATACATCAACCCATAGACTTTACCTTCATTGTAACTGTCCTTCCCATTGTGTGTGATTCCAATATCAAGATCTCTGTAGCATAGAAATGCTTCTCTAGGGGACTTCGACACAAATGGAGTCATGAAACTGTGTAACTCTCTGATTTGACTCATATAGTTCTTGTATGCTTCAACCCCTTCATCTTCCCAACTCACTGAGTACTGGATTTTGAATATGTTTCCGGCACGGTGGGGGAACGGTGTCGCCGCCGCCGGAATTTCACTCATTCGCCCTCCATATGGGTTGAAGACGAATCCAGTTTTTCCCAATTCGATCATCTTTTTCCAAATCGATTCTAACCCAGTTTTGGAAATCGGAGTTTGAACATAATCTGATTTTCTCTTCTGAAAATCAGCAGCGTAGGTTCGATCGAGCAGGACATTTGGGGATGTCTTTGGGTCGAAATTTGCCCAGTAAAGCACAGATTGAATCCAACTCATTTCCATACAATCCAGTTTTTGCAAACCCAGTTCAGGAAAGTCTCTGTTCATCACTGTCATGAGTTGTTTTGAATTACCAAGAAACATTGAAATGAATGTTGCTCGAATCGTCTTCACACCCTTTTGTGTTCTACTACTAATTGGTTGTATCAGAACCCTCATGAACAACCCATTATCGATCTTGTCTGCAACGAATTGCCATCGATGAACAAGCTCTGTTGCATTCTGATCCAACGTTTTCTCAACCCGAAAAACCGTTACAGTTTCCGGCACCGGAACAAGCCTAATTTTATACGACAGAACCACAGCGAAGCTAGCGGCGCCGCCGCCAGTCACCGCCCAAAACAAGTCCTCACCCATGGCTTTCCGATCCAAAACCCGGCCATTAACATCAACGATTAGACAATCAACAACATTATCGATCGACAAGCCATACTTTCTCAACATGTTGCCGTAGCCGCCGCCGCCGATGTGTCCGCCGATGCCGACGGTGGGGCAAACTCCGGCGGGGAAACCGTGGGTTTTGCTGGTGGATGCGATTTTGAAGTAGAGTTCGCCGAGTGTGGCTCCGGATTCGACCCAGGCGGTGTTGGTGGTGGTGTCGAGGTTGATGGAACGGAGGTTGAACATGTCGAGGACGATGAAGGGGGCAGCGGCGGAGGAGGTGTAGGAGATGCCATCGAAATCGTGGCCGCCACTGCGGATTTTGAGTTGGATTTTGGTGAGTTTGGAGCAGAGGACTGCGGCCTGGACGTGGGAGTGGAGGAGGGGGGTGATGATGAGGAGCGGTTTTGGGGTGGAGGAGGTGTTGAAGCGGCGGTTGCGGATGTAGGATTGGAGGACGGTTGGATAAGATGGGTTGGAGGAAGTGTAGACTATGGAGGAGATTTGGTGTTGTGGAGTTGAGTGGTTTGATAGGCATTTAATGAAGGTTTGATAGTTGGTTGTTGAATCTATGGCTGCCCATGATGAAATAGGAAGAAGAAGAACAAGAAAAAGAAGAAGATGATGATGAAATAGTAGTAATGGTGATGAAGTTTTCTCCATTGTTTGTTAGCTTGATTTGGTTTTTTTGGGTAATGAGAAAATTTATGGGTATATTAGAGGGTTACAATCTACAAAGGAAAAGTTTCGAGGATCCATAAAGCTTCCAAAAGTCTCAGTTTAATTAGATAAATAATATAAAAAAAATAAAAATAAAAAAATAATTTTTTATGTTTGTTTAAATAAGCAAAACCTTTCAAAATCTAGTGGGGGCAATTATCCCCACTCATCGCTACGTTAGTCTGCCCTTGACCTACAATTACATTGAATTTCATTACATGTATTAGTTATAAAATATTCAGAAAGCGAAATTTGAAGAACTTTAACCATTTGATTCTTCAATCATTATTATTTTTCAAATAAAAATGTTTCTTAAAGCATCTTATTGGCCAATATATTTGTACAAAACAAGATAGCTACAATTGTTTTATGATATTGATTTTTGCACATATAATTCCTAGAATAACACTTACCAACTGAAAATTTCAAATTTTCACAAAATGTAAAAAGGGTTTTTTTTTTTTTTTTTAAATCTCAATTTCTTCTCACAACTCCCTATTATACAATGATTGCTTTTTTTCTCAACAAAATTCAAATATATTTAAATTTTAATTATTGATATAATTAATTTAGAATATTACGTAAGCCATGTCATGCGGCCTTGTTTGTCATAATCTAAAAAAGTCAAAAAGTTATTATCTTATTTAAATCTCATCCCCTCTCTATCACATCACTTCAAACCCAACTTATACCCAACTCATATTTCATAAAAAACCAAAACGTACACGTATTTAAATCATCACAAACCACCCGACAAAACAATTATTAGATTAGATTATTAATGTGAATCTTAATTTGCTATCAAAATTTATATGAGAATTATATGTAGGTAGGAAATAGAAAAAAAAAAAAATTACGAACACATGAGAGGTGCAAGCGTATACTGGGCTACAAATAAAAGGTTGTAAGATGTAAGTGTCACTTACACCCTTATGTATCGGTAATTTTTTTCTTTTCTTTTTCTCACTTACATGTAATTCCTCCAAATTTATATAGTGAATTGGTGATAATATAAAGGAAAATTACCTTTCAGTGATAACTTTTAAAAATTATTATGTATTAATGAAGAAAATTATAATTATAATTATTAGGATAAATTACACTAACACCTTCTGTGGTTTCTATTTAATATAGATCCTCTTTCATATTTGAAAAATCACACTTACTTTTTGTCAGATTAAAATGATATATTTTTCCTTTAACCTTTATACATATAAAATAATGAAATAATGTTGATATCTTGTTCATATCATTTCAAGGGAAATAACAATCATCTTCTTTAATTTAACTCACACAAAAAATTGAGTTTTTTAAAATACTTTTTGTGTTTTTTTTTTTAATTTTTACTAATTTTTTTAATATTTTAAGTAATTTTTATTTTATTTTTTAGATGCACCTAATTTAGATATACTTAAAAAGTATAATATTTTGTCATTTTTTTAAATTCACCAAATACAAAATATATATATATATATATATATATATAAATACAAAAATTCAATACATTTTCTTATTTTGTTGTATATAATGGATTTTTTTAAACCTTTTTGTATAAATTTTATACTTTTTAAATATATCTAGATTAAATTGATCTAATCTAAATATAATGGTGGAAATAAAAATGAAAAATTATAGAAAAAAAGGGCAAGATGGTCATTTAAAAAATTTTAGGGCATGCCATCAACAATTAAAAAGTGTAATGAGATTACAAACTTTAGGGAGAAAAATGTAATTTTTTAAACGTGAAAGAATAATTTATATTAAATAGAAATCAGGTGTATTTTGAAAAGATAGTTATAATTAATTTTTTTATGAGAGAGGAAGTGAGTTATAATCTGATTAGTGGATTATAATCCACTTTTCAAAAAAGCTAATTATTAATATTTTGTAATTAATTTTCTCATACCCACTGCATCGATATTTTTCCTGGAAAATGTTTGAGGGTCATAATTTTTGTTGCTTAAATGGCTTAAAATTGCCAAAACAACGTCATTTTGATAATTTTAAAATTGTTTTGTATTCAAAACGACGTCGTTTTAACAATTTCGAATCATTTGAACCACAAAAATTGTGACCCTCGTATTGCTGATTTTCCCTCGTATGAATGCATTGATTGTTGATGTCTTGTCAGTAGCTGTGTCAGTAGCTGTGTCGGTAGGGATGTTTTTACAATTTTGAGAGCTCCAAAAAGAGAAATTATTCCCCACAAAAAAGAAAAAAAAGAAAAAAAAAAAGTAATTGGTACGCAGAGCCATGTGATATTTTATATGTATTTTAATTAAAGGAAGTAAAATTAATAATTTTATATTAATTAATTAAAAACATAAAAATAAATAAAAATTTATGATTGGTCAAAAACATGACTAGCTAATGGCCCTCTATCCTCTAATAATTTCTCTCCAAAGTGACTACTTAAATTATCAATGATTTTGACAACAACACCCCATGTGCATTTTCTGGACCAAAGACAAAGCATGCTGTATTGGGCTGTCTGTATGTAGCTTACTTTATTTCAGAACATCTCCAATTATTATTGTTTTAATATTATTGTTATTGTTATAATTTAATAATAAATAGTATTATTTTGTCAAATTATAGTAATAGTATTTAAATGGTCATTTATTATTTTTAACAAATCTCAATCAATTTTTTCTTCAAATTTATAAGTGTTGTTTGGATATGATTTTTTTGTAATCTTATTTTTGTTTATTTTTTGTCTTTTGTGACATTTTTTTACCTATTTGTTAAAAAATTTATATATTTATATTATTCCCAACTAGATAAATATAAAAAAAAAATTGTTTGATTAATTCAACCCACCAAAAAACATATCACTACATATTTAATAAATTTTTTAAACTACACATAAAAAATAAACAATCAGCAATTACCCACCAACAACCAACCACCAACAACCATCCAAATTAAAAATTAAATGACATTGCTTAATTTAAAAATACATTATCTCATAATTATTCATCAAGAGACATAGGGAAATAGCAATTTGGGCTGCTGACATTTGAGGACTACTTGGCGAAAATCTCATTTTTTCGCATTATGTAATATGCTTTTGTCTGAGGGTCCAAAAGAAAAATGTCCGTAGTTATTATCTCATGTTCTTCTTTTCTGATCTCAAGTTCTTTCATTTCCTGCGGTGCTTGAATCCTTTTTTCTTCTCATTCATCTTTTTTCTTTTCTTTCTCAGTAAGGTATTGGTTAAATTTCTCCAATTGTATGCTCATTTTTTTGGACTTCAACTTCAACCACTTGATTTCTCCGAAATAATTCTTTTAAAGCTTTCCTACCCATAGGCCTTTTACCCCTTGCAGAGACACTGCCCTCACCGACAGTTGGATTGTTACCAACACTTGGACTGGTGTCATCTTCAAGAGAAATGCAATTATCTATAGGAGAATCAGGGGCTGAATCAGGGAAAAACGGTGTATGTATCCTTGACTTCACCGTATTCGTAGGAGCTAGATCTTGCCACCTGATATTGTTTTGTAAGATTGACCAACAATGTTCAAAAGTAAAATGTTTCTTTTCATCTTGATAGTATAATAGTTTTGCTTGAAGCACCTGTATCAATAAAATATTAAATTAAGTAATTATTTAATTTTTATATGAGACGAAATAAAATAAAATAAAAAACTAACGTAATAAATGAAGATGAAATCTTACTAGATCAACTTGAGACATTCCACTTGGGTGTAGATTTTCGACTTGCGCTAAATATCCACGAAATTTGTTAGAACATTTCATAATTGTACCCTATCGAGATTGGATAGAAACTTGTGTTCTTAACTGATCATTCTGAAGGAAGCAATAATTTTCATAAATTTTTCCCCAAATGTGAGTATAAGATTGTGAATTGCCAACAATTGAGTCTTCAGAAATGTGATACCAAGCTTTACAAAGTGCCATATCTTCAGCAATGGTGAATGATTTTCCTCTCTTTATTTTTGATGAACCTTCCATACCTATTGTGTAAAGAAAATATAAATAAAAATGTAATTTAGAAAGTTTGTTGTGAAATGAAATTGAGTAAAAAGAGAGAAGAAAAGGTTTGTATTTATAGAAAAAAAAGAGCCGTTTTTTTATAGCCATTTTAACATAAAAATATGACCGTTTATATCCGTTGTGGATATGTTTCACTTATGTTTTTATTTAATTTTTATTTATTTTTAATGAATAAAGTAGCACACTTGGATCTTAGCTGTTGGATTGTTATTAATCAACGGCTGAGATCAATTATGTGTCTGTGTGTCTCTATCCTCTCATCTCTGTGTCTCTGCTCATTGAACAAAATAGCACACTTCGGATAAACTTCAGAGAAGATCAGAGAGAGAGAGAGCTTCGAAACACTTCGGATCAGTGAAGATCACTTCAAAACACTCCTGCCCATTAATCAACGACTGGTTCTTGCCTTCTCTCTCCCCCTGCTTCTCGGATCAGTGAAGATCAGAGAGAGAGAGCGCTTCGGATCAATGATTTTCAAATCGATAAGACTTTCTTTTATTTTCATCTTCGGATTGATGAAACTCTCTCATCTTCATCTTCGGATCAACCTTCTCTCATCCATCCCCCATCTTCTCTCACCCGAAGTTCTCTCTCTCTCTCTCCTTCTCCAAAACCACCACCAGATCATCCACCTATCCATAACCCTCGAAGCCCTAACCCCCCCCATCCACCTATCCTTCGAAGCCGTAGCCCCCATCTTCAACCCTCTTCTCCAACCTCAAAGATCACAGTACTTCAATTTGGCTTTCTGAAGAGGATGAATATTGGAGAAATTAGTGTAAATTCGGCTTTCAAATCCAGGTATTTTTCTTGATGAATTTGTGAATATTGATATTGAAGAATTTGTGAATATTGGAATATTAGAGAAATTAATATTGATGAATTTGGTATGAATTTGCTGAAATTCTTGATGAATTTGTGAATATTGATAATGATGAATTTGCTGAAATTCTTGTTCATTCTGATTAATTTGTGATGATTTCTGTTTAAACGACATGGTGAATTTCATTTCT